AGAGAGAGAGAGAGAGAGAGAGAGAGAGAGAGAGAGAGAGAGAGAGAGAGATGCGTGCGTTTTTTCTTCTCCATGCCCCATGCGCACAATACAATGTCACGTACGCATGTTTAAATTGTTTTCCTGTTTTCGCAACTTGATGTTTATAGTTTTTAATCTCACAGCGAAGTCCATAATAATTGAAAAAAGCGAAACAAATTCTCGATAAAGCTTTTAAACTCTGTACTCAATACTGATCAGTGATCTCAGAGGCTCTAGTCGTGGAAACCGACGTGAAACGAATCAGTCCAAGTCACTGAAAAGTCTCAGACGTGAGCTCTTTTTCGTTTTATGTCAGCAACGTAAAGATTCTGTTAAAAATTTTGTTATTACTGTCATGAACTGTTTTGTTGGTAACATCTGCCTATTCAAGTGAGGACTCGGAAGCGTAACAGGTAACGATGTGTTGGCCGTTTCTTTCTGCTAGATCTAAATCTAGATCAATCTAGATCTAGATCTAGAATCTAGCAGTACTGCTAGCCTAATACGGGTGCCCACTACGGATGGGATCGGTCGATCGCCAGACTCGGTCGCCTAAAAAAAACATGTTTGTTTTCAGTTTCAGGCGATCGAGTCGGGCGATCGGCCCAATCCAGCCGTAGTGGGCACCCTGTATAACGTGTAGGCATAGATCTAGTAGGAGGTCCTAATGTAATTTCTGAATTATAGTCTAGTGTGTAAACCAGCATGAAATTATTCACTCAATTCAGTTTGAGTCAATAGCCAATGAGAATGTGATGTGTCTTGAATTATATATATATATATATATGACACTGTATTTTCTTTCAAAATGAACTAGTGTCAATTATTATACTGACTTGTTCTATGGTCAAATCATTGTCAAGATAGAGTAGAGAATTATATTATTATATTATGATGTTTATATTAGTTTATTAAAACTCTGTAACTAACATTAACATTTTTATTAGGTTACACTGCCTTTATTTTTTATCATGTATATATTTATTTCTATTCAAAGAAACCAGACTACTGACTGATTTTCTGTTACATTCTGATTATAATAATATTTGTTATTTGATTATAATAATACTTGTTATTAGAATCTAGATCTAAATCTAGATTTCTAGTGCTGTTTTGAAAATCATTGAAAATGTGGGCCTATTCTTGTGGTGACAAATTGTAATCAAGTTTATTTCTCAGCAGTGTTCCCATGTTGAAGGCAGTAGTGGATGAGATTGAGATTGAATCTCCTAAAGTACTTAATAGAACACAAAGGTTGTTTAAACAAAACTATCACCCCCTCACCCCACCCCACCCCACCCCACCCCCAACTATCTCCACTAGGTCTATTAGTCTGTCATCCAACAAGTCCCTGTTGGTGGGAGCAGAAATTTTGACCAGGACAAAAGGATAACACAAGACTGCCAGATCAGCTTTCATTTTTTTTTCAGCAAAGGTTGTCGAGGATAATTTGCATTTTAAATCTTGATCCATTTTCATCCCACAAACCCTCTAGATTCCTGTGCAGTGACAATTCCTGTTTGATTTTTGTGAACTCTCAGCAAGGACTCCAAGAAATGACTTCAAGTCTGCTCGTTTGAGGAACGGATCTTGCCACAGAAAATATGTCAACGTCATCTGTGAATGGGCATGCCTGTGCCAGTGTTCCTCAGATCGGTCAAGGAGATCAAGATGATTGCTGTGCTGATTTTCAGTATCAACGTCCTCTTGACTTGTTTCAGAATAAGAAGCTTGTGAAAATCTGTGCACCTATGGTGCGCTATTCAAAGTAAGTGCATCAATGCATGCCTGTATTTATCATGCCTGTTAACCTAATTTCCCACTTTTCTACTAAAATGGAAATGTAGGCCTATAGAGAACTAACTACTCCATTTGATCCTAGTCTTATCTGGAAAGATGCTTTAGATCCAAGTATCAGGTCATAACCAGATGACTTCTACACACTACACTCTCAGCATGCACGCACTCACACACACACACACACACATATGTGTGCACACACACGCACGCACGCATGCACGCACGCACGCACACACACACCCACACACACCCACACACACATGACTCAATACAATCACACATAGTGTGCTTGCATGATCAAATGTGGCAGCTGTTTTAAACAGATTCTATCATGTATCGAGATAAGAAATTTCTGTTATTTCTATTACATGTTATGCCATCACAATATTAAAAACTCAAATTATATTGTATGTAAATGTCACTTTTTTTCTGGGAATTGGTGACTCTCCAACTTAATTTCCTTGGTAAAATATGGATGGAAAAGATACAGTGAAATTTCTACCAGTGATTTTTTAAAAGAATGTTATTTCTAAAAATATGGGCACAATTAACAAATTAGACTGATCCACCGGAACAAGGAAAATTTATAGAACACAATTGCAGGTATCAAAGAATTGTTATCTCTATAAGTAGTCTTTTACTTTCATGTAATGATTTATTATAATATACCGATATAATGAAGTTATGAATGTTCTTTTCATTACCAACATATCATATTCCTTCTTTCTCCCTGTTGGTCTACAGGCAAGGTTTCCGCATGCTTGTCCGGAAGTACGACTGTGACCTCACGTTTACGCCCATGATCATATCAAACAGTTTTGTGAGGAGCATCAAAGCAAGAGACAGTGATTTCACTACTTATGCAGGTAAATGTTCCAAAGGGATAGTTTTTTAGGAAATAAATATGAACATAGAATATATACTTGTACTGAAGAAACTTAGATCAAATGATGTTGGATTGAAGTTACAAAATTAATTTTTATGTTACTATTAAAAGATATCTCAGTTAATTAATATTATTGTATGTTACAATCACACTGAAGTTAAACGCTCACCTACACACACACACACACACACACACACACACACACACATTCACATGCCCATGCTCAAACACACACTCAAACACATAAACACACATGTCTTTTCTGAAAATATGTGATGTAATTGTAATTGTTTTGCCCAGCTAATTTCTTTTGTTTGGCTTGTTTCAGGGGACAGACCACTTATTGTGCAATTTGCATCCAACTCCTGCGATGACTTTGCCAATGCAACAGAGATTGTCGCTCCGTAAGTTTTTTCATCTGGAATAAAAACATGGGTGACATTTCACCTTTGGAGGGGATGCACTCTCGGCTGATGGGACTGTGAGAGGTGTAAAAACTTGACAATTTTGTTGACATTAGTGACCTTAGATTGAGAAGTAAAATTTTCCACCAAGAAAGAGATACAATATGTATAATTTATTTTGTATGAGATATGAATTAGAAAATGTTTAACCTGTTTGTAGACAAATTTTTACTCTTCAAGTGTGTCAAAGGCTTGATAGTTCATTTCTCATAACAATATTATCTTCAAATTCCTTTTTCTCAGTACGAATGAATTTTTTTTTTACATTATGTCGGCTTCTAAGGCTTAATTACATGCCCTCTCAAACTTTCCTTTCTCACTTTCAGGTACTGTGATGGCGTTGATCTCAACTGCGGTTGTCCTCAAAGGTTAGCTGGAGGGCGTAGCGTATCGTCAGCTTCTTTCCACAAGCACTAAAATCATTTTTTAAGTTTTACAAAATTGAAGAGAAACATATGGCACACGTCAAAACCTCAACTTGAGCTCTCGTGAATTTGCAACTAAACACAAAGAAGGAAAGAATGAAACAAGACAAAATTGCATCAAAAGATATACCTTAATGTAACAGCTTTATTTGGAAATCAGAGAGTGATTGTGGAATGTCACTCATGATATGAATCCCTCTCGAGAAACGAACATTTCAGCTTTCTGTTTCTTGCTTTAGTACTTGAGTCCGGTAGGTATAAGAGACATGATGTTTCCACATGTCTGTCTGTTTTCCTTAATCCTGATTGTGCAAATTAAAGATTGTTGTTATGAGCTTTGTGTTCAATTTTGATCATATTTTTGCAATGTTTAGTATTAGCAGTACTAAAATATTATGAGTAAATGTAACACAACATTTGAATAAACTTGTACCATGACTGGTATTAAGAAAAGGAAAATTTTGCGTTGGAAACTTCAATACAGCCGAAGCAGTCACTGTGCCAGAATTGATGACGAATGTTTTTGTAATTGTACTGTCCTGGGATCAAATCATTGCTGCGATGTCCACTGAAAATATTTATTTCCTCTTCAGATGGGCAATGTCTGCAGGCTACGGGTCGTGCCTTTTGAAGAAACCAGAACTTGTGTGTGATATGGTCAAACAAGCCCGTTGTCGCGTGGACCGAAATGACTTTACTGTCTCAATGAAAATTCGCATTCATAAGGATTTAAGGTAAGTAGTAAAATTTTCTCCATTATTAGCAAAATGAGCAGACTCCTTTTGAAAGATTTTAATTGTTTTGCCTTTCTATGATGCTTGATATAGATGCATGAAAATCTAGGTGTAACAGTATTATATCTTGGACCATAATGTCTTGGTGTAACTAGGTTGTGTTCCCAAAAAGGGAAACTACTGTTCATGCTTGAGGAAGGTTCTTCTATAAAGGAACTCAGTATAAATTGTACTGATCGACATGGCGAGTTGGTTCCATATCTTGTGTTAGTTATGTAAAAGGTATCTGTGGTCTATCCTATTTGATATCGACCACCCACACTTTTACACTAGGTGAAAAAAGATATTTTGTCTTTGCAAGATTGGAGTAGTTTATCATGAACTTGAGAATGATTTCATTTACTTAAACCAGGGTTGTAAAACTATGAAGAAAATGAAAGCATGACTATCATATTTTATGATGCTCTTTGATCTAAAGGTGAGGTTTTTCTTTCTTTTGACAGAGAAACTGTGGACATGTGCCAAAAGGCTGCCAAGACGGGTGTCTCGTTTATCTCCGTCCATGGACGCACGAAGGAACAAAGAGCCCAGCCCGTCAACCTGGAAGCTGTGAGGGCCATCAAAGACGCCGTGGCTGTGCCTGTGGTTGCTAATGGAGACATCCGAAGTCTAGAAGATTCTGACAGGGTACAGGCTGAAACAGGGGTGGATGGTGAGTGAGTCTGCTGTCCTTGGTGCCTGCAGTGAGGGCTGAATGAGCCCAAGTACAATATCACAATACAGTATAATAATAATAATAAATGACATTTGTGTAGCGCTCAAGCCCGATTAAAGTACACTGGCTGTGAGCACTTTACAGTTCAGTACAAAGTACAACAGTAACATAAAACGTTGTGTTCTGACGAAAAGAAAATTACTAATTTAAAAACAAAAATGGCTTCAGCTGACATTTGAATGAATCAAAAGATTTGATCTCTCTTAAAGTACTTGGTAAAGCATTCCAGATTTTGGGGCCTTGGTATTCAAATGCCCTTTCACCCATTTGTTTTAAGTTTCATAGATGGTAAAAGAAATTTCGTTTCGTCAACTGATGACCTTAAACTGTGAGTTGGAATGACGCCTTGTTCTTTATGTTTAATCCATCTTTTCCTGTCTGTGCTTAGGTGTGATGGCAGCCAGGGGTATACTTGCCAATCCTGCCATGTATGCTGGGTACAAGGACACTCCACTGCAGTGTGTACAAGACTGGGTGTGTAGTCTTTTCTTCTTCTTCTTCTTTACTGTATCAGTTGTCATTCATCCAAGACTGGGTGTGTAGTCCTCTTAACCGTATCAGTTGTCATTCATCAAAGACTGGTGGGTGGCTAGCAGGTGCTCTGGTGTGGTTTGCTTCTTCTTTCCTATCAAACATCTGTCGTCCTTACCTCCCCTTCTTCTTTTTTGTTTGTTACTCTCTTGTAACACCTCTAATCTTCTTGCGCTCAGATGACCTTATGCAGTTGCAAGCGCCATAAGACCTCTACTAAAACTAAACTAAACATTCATCCAAGACTGTATGGGTTTTCTTCTTTTTCTTTCCTTTACTGTATCTGTTGTCATTCATCCAAGACTGGGTGTGTATTCCTCTCTTCTTCTTTACTGTCTCAGTTGTCGTTCATCCAAGGCTGGGCATGTTTTTTTCTTTTCTTTACTGTATCAGTTGTCATTCATCCAAGACTGGGGTGTGTAGTCTTTTCTTCTTTGCTTTACTGTATCAGTTGCTGGGTACAAGGACACTCCACTGCAGTGTGTGCTAGACTGGGTGTGTATTCTTCTTTACTTTATTGTATCAGTTGTTATTCATCAAAGACTGGGTGTGTATTCCTCTTTACTTAACTGTATCAGTTGTTATTCATCCTGTGAACTAAGTCAACTGTGAGCCTACTAAGCTTGGTTTGAAATTTAAATTTAAAAAGTTTTTGTTTTTTTGTAAAAAAAATGTCGATTCTATTTTTGAGTTTTAGTTTATGTTATTTATAGGTTTGCATATTTGTGTGTGGTTACCATTTAGGAGAAAGTAAGTGATTTGCCAGTACCTGCATATATATGAAAGTTTAAGTATTTTTACTCCAGTTCCTGTTATCAGTGAAACAGCAACGTGCCTATTTCTTTTTCTTTCACTTTCATGTTTTAGTTGCATAAATCTCTTTCTCTCTTGTATCGATTTTTATAAAGGTGTACATCACCTAGGTGTCAGAAGAGCAATATAGTGTGGTTATTCTTCTTCATTTTATTCTGGTATAAGATGAAGACTTTTGAATCTGCCCTAACTGTTATACTTTCCCTACTTGTGTCTCGTTCAGATTTGTACTGTTTCTCTTTTTCCCTCAAATTCAGTAGTGGTACTTTAGTCACCTAAATATCCTCCTATAATAAGATGCAGTTCCAGGTATCAAGATTTTAGAGAGTTTTTCAGGAGGAACAAAAAGCTGTTTAATGTTGGTTTGTAGTAACGATCAACACACCGGGAACGATCAAACCCTAAAAGCGTGTCACGTGATAAGTGATTCAGGAATTCTTGGCTTTACTGTCAGTTCCGTAATAATTCTTGTTGCGTCATCCAAGTTGTAACAATATTGAAATTCATTCCGCACATCTCAAGATGAGCTAATTTGGAAGCAAACAGCTGTGATAAGTAAAACAGTTATTTGCTTTTTATAGCGATTTTAAGGCGCGGAACTCAATGAAACTTATACAGAAATGAAGCCCATGATACGCACTTTCGTTTGGAGAAAAAAACATTTTTGCACCAAAATCATGATACGCGGATCTGGCTCTCACCGGACGATATGTTTTGATAGAAATAGATCATTTTTCCTTACCTTATGAAACTTGTCAGCCCCGGTGAGCTGTTACAGGCCGGACTGAAACGGCCCACCCCCTACATGAGTTAAAATGTGTTGATGAGGGTTTAGAATGTTCACCATTACTTTTTTTTTCACACACTAAAGCAACCCTTGTTTCTCCTTCCAGGTGGACATTGCCCTGTCTATCGGTACACAGTTCCCATGCTTTCATCATCATCTGATATTTATGTTGGAACATATTTTGAGCAAGGCCGAAAGAAACGTTTTCAATTCTTTGGCAAGTCTTTCAGCCGTGCTTGACTTTCTCAGGGACAATCTTGGCATTACTTAATCATCAATAAACGTATAAGCATACAATTTGGGTGTTTGTTCATTTGAGTTTCCATTTTTGTAAGTAAATTTTCCCACTTATTTGTTTTGTCTGTTTGCCTGTTTGTCATGGCCTTGATGATGGTCATTTAGCTCTCGTCGAAGAAACAAGTCAGTTGAGTGAAACTAGAGTCACACTGGAAAAACATAGGTTCTTCCACAATGTAGGCCTACCTTCCAACTACTCTCAGGAAAAAATGAAAACAAATGTTTACACATCGCAACCACATTTCTTATTGCCATGTCTCCATTTCTTTTAACAGTGAAAATGTAACATCTTCTAAAGCTCACTCTTTGTTATGATCTGTTTTCTCTGTTATTAAAAATGTAGATATGACAAGAAAACACTGGGGTCGCGACATGTAGGTACATGCATTTACATTATAATATTTGCCTTGATTTGTTTCATTGATCTGTGTAATAATGTACACAATGAATGAGAGACAAAGTTAACCCTTTGACTTTTTAATTGAACTCTACATAGATAAATAAGGAAAAGTCCTTGCAATGTCAATGTTAAAGTGATTGAAAGTGAGTTCAATTTGGGAAAGATGCTTTTAGTTAGTTTTGGCCTTGCTCTCCCTGGAAATCATAACGTCACAGGAGCTTTCTTTATCCTACTTATTGAGTCCATGTTACACATCTCAGTCCACAGCGGTAAATGTACAGTGTCACTGCCCTCCAGGCACATGATATACTGTTTTCAGTTGAGTATTTACCCGGCGTCTGTAGTGAGATGATCAGTTTAGTTTTAGTTTTAGTAAGGTTTTACGGAGCTCGCAACTTCATAAGGTCATAATCATATGAGTGCCAAGGGATGAATGTCAACAGAGAAGTCCAAATGGGGAATCAAGCTTACTCTGCTCGCCTCTCTAGCTTCAACAGCACAAAGTCTGCTTGGACTATCAAGGCACCCCGGAAATATCAGTTTACAAGAGAGTGACAAACATACAAAAGAAGTAGAGGGAAGATGACGAAAGAAAAAGCAGCAGTTCCCCCTATGTTGTTCTGGAACAGTATGAGCATGACACTGATAAATCAGCCCATTTACAGTTCTACAGTGCATAAAAACATGTTAATATCCCCCCTTTGGGGATGGCCTAAAGACAACTTGAGT